TCAACATTGTGACAGGTTGTTATTAATAACACCATAATCCGTGCCTCACACGCATGGAAAATTTTATCCCGAAGCCTAAGCAGGGATAAGTCAACGCCTAACACGCATTGCCGGTTTAGTCTTTTACCGATTGAAAAAGACACTAGAGTCTAAGTCTGGGGAATTTTATCCCGAAGCCTAAGAAGGGGTAAGTCAACGCCTAGCACGCGTTGCCGGGTGCCATATTCCCGTAAGAAATGGTGAAGTCTATGTATTCAAAATCATAGCACTAAGTCTAAGAGAATTAATTCTCTTAGCACAACGTTACATGCGGAACGGATATAGAATAATCTGCATGCTAGCCCGACTCAGACGGTAGTCGGTAAAGGCTCATCAAACCCGTTGAAGGCTGGGGGTTTGCCAAAAATCTCACAAGTATTATGTTTGATTATTCCATACGGAGTAAGACATCATAATAAATGAGACATAATGAATGAAAAAAAGACATATTTTCTATTAATAAAATTGAGTTTGCAGGTACAAGAGTTACAATCAATCTACATGAAGTTTGTGACTACGGACTTGCTGTTCAAGTTTAGTCAATTCCTCTGTATAAGTTCGCTCAAGCTCACACTGCAATGCAACCTTGAAGGATTCCTCGGTGAGGGATAATGTTTTCGCAGCCTCTTGTTTGATCTTGGCTAACTTCTGTTTCGAGAGCTCCAATTTTTCGGATATCACAACTTTTGAACGCTCCAAGTCATCCTTCGTCATCCCTAAGATAGCCAAGGCCTCCACCTCTGCTTTGAGCTCCTCTTCGGGTCGCTCTATCTTAGCCTTACCCGACGTAATAGAGGATTTGAGTTGACGCGTAGATGTTTGTTTCTCAGCGAGGACGGCCTCCATTTGATCCACCTGACTTTGTTGCGTTTGAATCTCAAGTCCAGCAGAAGCCCGAGTGTCGTGCCATGCTTGTAGACGAAATTCCATCCGGATGGCTATGTACGTTGAAGTACCGGCAGTCTTCAACTCTTGTAACCGTCGGAATTCGCGCTCCAGCCGGTCCAAATCGTCGACATGGCTAATCTGTAACAAAGATCAACAGCTCAGTTAGATCAAGAATCAAGATATATGAATCAGAGCTTAAAAGGGAAATTGCGAATCTTTAATTGAAATTCTACAAAATGGAATTTTCTAATTAAGGGTCCAATTAAACCTATACGACATTCTTGGTTCAAGTTAAGTGTCACAGAGTCAAATATAAGGCCTCGATCATGTCAACATGTGGATTCACAAGCTCAGTCATATACAAGAATAGCTCGAATTCAAGGCATGCACGAGTTCAGTTACATATGAATTCAATAATACAAGAGCTCAGTTATATACAAATTCGAATTTGAATTATATACAAGAGTTCAATCATATGCAAGAGTTCAATCACATGTACAAATTCAAGGCATATAAGGTTCTCGAGCCATACACAAGTTGGGATTCAAGTTATTTCGACCACATACAAGTTTGGATTCAGTCACATACGAGTTCAATCATGTACAAGTTCGAACCATACAAGAATGCAATCATATACAAGAATTCAGTTATGCACGAATTCAATCATATGTACGAAGTTTGGTCATGTACAAGTTTGAGTTCAAGTCAAGTCCTGGCCTCACACATGTACAAATTCAAGGCGTATAAGGTTCTCAACCACATACAAGTTTGGATTCGAGGCATACACAAAATCAAAATCAAGAATCAAGGCCTCGATATGTTCCCTAAATCGAGAATGTGGTTTGGTTCTTATTCACAACCATGTTTAGTGAATTCCCACATAACTCAAGCTTTATGAGCAGTCAGTTCAAGCGAAGGAATTCGATTATATGCAAAGTCAATTCTTGGCCACAGACAAAGTACGAATTCGAGTCATTCGACCACATACGAGTTCGGATTCAAGTCATGCACAAATTCAATTATATACAAGAGCTTGGCTATATACAAAGTTTGAGTTCAATCATATACATGAGTTCAATTATATACGAGTTCGAATTATATACAAAATTCAAGCACATAAAAGAATTCAGTCATGAATAGCTCAAAGACCTCAACAAGAATTTTCAGCCATATACAGGTTCGAAGAGCTGTTCGACCACACATTCAGTCATCAACCATCAAACCATGAGTTCCAAATCATGAATTCAAGACAGCAGCGATCAAGCCATGCTCACATGAACAACCCCAAATTTCGGCCAACACAAGCCATGCTCACCAAACTCAACAAAATTTCGGCCATGGGTGAGTTCATCCAAAATTCGGTTCTTTCCCAAGAATAAATAGTTGAGGACTGCAGTTATCAAGTCATGAACACAACAGAAGCCAAAAATTCAGCCATTGCACAAAGTTCAACCAAATTTCGGTTTGTTGCCCAAATTCAAAAACTAGGGTTTTATTCATTGAATCAAAGCTTAGAGAATTAGCTAAAATTGAAGTGAGGAAATCAAAGCCATGAGGAGAGACTTACCCAAGTTTCAAGAAGATTATAGCTTGAAGAAGAGGAAAATCCCAAATTGCGAAGCCCTAGCTTGTGAAGAGGCAAAAATTCGGCCAAATTAAGCTCAGGAACTTCTCCAAAGCCTTTTGATCTTAGAAAAGTTGAAGAGTTTGAGAAGTTCTTAAAGGAGAGGGATTTCTGTAGTAAAGGAGTTCTTGAAGAGATGAAGCTTGGGGGAGGAGAAAAGAAACGGAAAATTTGAAGAGGGGGAAGAAGAGCTGGGACCTAACTTGAAGAAGGAAGAAGAACAGAAAAAAAGATCGGGATTTTTTTTATCCTTTTGACCCCTCTCCGACCCGCGTTCCGCGGGTCGGATTTGTGTCCGACCCTCGTGCTCGCGGGTCGGATTAATCCGACCCGCGATCACGCGGGTCGGATCCATCTGACCCGCGTGAACGCAGGTCAGACCCATTTTAGCGCTCATTTTGCTGTATTTTCACCTGTTTTCGCCCGTTTTTCGAATGTTCGGAGTCCAACCTCATCTCCCGGATAATTTCACGGCATTTTCGCTCATATTTGGAATGTTCAGAGTTCAATTTCATCTCCCGGATAATTTGGCGGTATTTTCACTCAGATTCGGAATTTTCGAAGTTTAATTTCATCTCTCGGATAATTTGGCGGCATTTTCGCTCATATTTGGAACGTTCAGAGTTCAATTTCATCTCCCGGATAATTTGGCGGCATTTTCACTCAGATTTGGAATTTTCGGAGTTCAATTCCGTCTCCCAAATAATTTCAAGATATTTTCGTCTATTTTCAGAATACTCGAGACCCAATTTTATATTTTGGGTGATTTCGTGATTTTTCGCCTATTTTCGGAATATTCGGGACCCAATTTTATATTTTGGGTGATTTTGCGATATTTTCGCCTATTATCGGAATATTCGAAATCCAAACTCCAATTGGCGATCACGAGTCTAAACTGTTTCCAAATTTTGACGGAAAGTTCCTGGAGAATATTATGTATAATGATTCTTAAGGATAACCGAGCAACCTCCGACAGGTACACGAGGTTAAACTGATTCCTGAAACTCCCATGAGTACACGAGTATAAACTGGTTCTCCTCAGGTTAACGCGAAACCCTAAGGTCAATGCCGGTCAACTCGTAGCCCTAGGTCAACGCCGGTCAACGCGTTGCGATAAAGAGTCAACGCCGATCAATTCGAAACCCTAAGGTCAACGTCGGTCAACGCGTAGCCCTAGGTCAACGCCGGTTAACGCGTTGCGATGAAGAGTCAACGCCGATAGATTCGAAACCCTAAGGTCAACGCGGAGTAACGCGTAGCCCTAGGTCAACGCCGGTCAACACGTTACGATGTAGATAATTAATCCAAAAGTCAACTCAATAGCACGAGTCAAAGTATACTCACCAATTCCGGTTCAAGGCTTCAATAACGGTCAGACGATAAACGCAGTACCGGGAAAATCTTAGCTATTCGACAAAACACAGAATATGCAAAAATATGGAGAAGTCAAGAATCGAAACCATCGGTAGGTCATTTAACACCGACTGAAGGTGGGGATCCATCATATCCAAAGCATTTCAGACTCCTCTATAAAAGAATGAGGCTGAAACACTTTGGAGGGGGGGGTATCTGTAGGCGTCTAAAATTGCCTATGAGAGCCCGCACGAAACTCAAAGCAATGAATGGGCGAGTCAAGAAAATTCGCCAATCAGTCAGCGCACGTCAAATGCATGCACGTCAACCAGCTCGTGCGCGTCGGTCAACGTGCGCACGCTAATCAGTCCGTGCGCATCGATCAACACGCGTATATTAACCAACACGCGTTCGACGGTCGGTCTCGCGGCGAAGCATACAAGTCAACAAATCGACCAAACACGCAAAAAGAACAAGTCTCGGAAGAAAGAGAACAGAAAAGGAAAAAGTCGACAAAACTGCGCGAACGCAAGACGGAACAAACCGACCCGCGCAAGCGCGGGGTCGGATTGGTCCGAAGCGCAATTAGGCGGGTCAGACTGATCCGACCCCGCCGCGCAGTCTGGAACCTGAAACGTGTTTTGACGGGTTTTAAACTGTTTTCACAGAATTTATCTATTCCAGGGGTTCCTAATTGATTTGATATCATCCCCAAACGTGGTTAGGCTGTTGTTGACTGAAGATAGAGCCAAATCACTTGTTCTCATCCAAAATAACCACATTCGGGGCCTATAAATACGAGCCAAAGGCCTCCATTTTCGAGATCGGGAATTTTATCAAGAGGGCGAGGTGCTGCTGGATTGGAGAGTCAAGGAGCACGAAATTTCAGCGAAGGTTAGCAAGATCCCGATGAACTTCAGCACAAAGGAGAAGCTGTTCGAAGGATCCGAAGCCCGTACGTCCGTTCCTTGAGATTAGTCTTGGTCTTAATCTCAAGAAGAGCCCTGATTTCGCTTTGTTGATCTCAACGCTTAAAGCAAAAAACCCCTTCGGTGAGGTAGAAGCTCTGTTGAATTTTCCTACAACCGGATCTGATTCGCGGTCGTCCACGGATTAACCCCGACACCGGCAAAGAACCCACGCAAGTAAGAGCCGATAAACGGATCTTGTGTTTATTTTCAAGAAAGTTGTAATTTTTTATTTTCGTTATTTGAATTCATTTGTAACGACTAAAGTTTAATGAAATCAATGATGAAGGCAGCTTTCCACGAAAACAGTGGACGAAGTATTTCTCAAAGTTTACTCCAAGCTCGAGAAGAAAAGCCTTCAACCATAGCAACTCATTTGCTGCCTCTGCTGCAAACACGTACTCAGCTTCGGTGGTCGACAAAGCCACAGTATTCTGTAACTTGGATCTCCAACTTATCGCTCCACCACCCAAGATGAAGATGTATCCGCTCGTGCTCCTTCTTGAGTCTATGTCCCCTGCGTAGTCTGCATCACAAAAGCCCTCTAGTTACAAATCCATCCTGTTATATTCAAGATAACGGTCGGATGAGCATCTCAAGTAGCGTAGAAGCCACTTGACCGCACCCCAGTGTTGCTTCCCCGGATTGCTCATGAAGCGGCTCACAACTCCCACTCCTTGTGAAATATCTGGCCTCGTACACACCATCACATACATCAAACTCCCGACGACAGATGCGTATGGTATGTTGGCCATGAACTCACGCTCTTCAGCAGTCTCTGGTGCTTGCGTCTTTGATAGTTTGAAATGGCTCGCAAACGGTGAGCCCACCGGTTTAGCTTTCTACATGCCAAACTTTTCAAAAATCTTCTCAATGTAGGCTTTCTGAGATAACCTCAGCCTCAGTGCTGATCTGTCTCTGATGATACGCATCTCAAGAATCTGATTTGCTGGACCCAGATCCTTCATCTCGAAGCACTCGGAGAGACGTCCCTTGAGTTCTTCAATGCAGGCCAAGTCGGGTCCTGCAATCAACATGTCATCAACATAAATCAAGAGTATCACATAGGATTCGCCATATCTCTTGATAAAGCAGCAATGGTCTGTGTCGCATTTGAGAAAACTGTTCTCCTCCATAAAGTTCTCGAACTTCATGTACCACTATCGCGGAGCTTGCTTCAGGTCATATAAGCTCTTGCGTAGGCGACACACGAGGCCCTCCCTGCCTCGTTCCTCGAAGTCCACTGGTTGATGCATATAGATCTCTTCCTCCAAATCTCCATGAAGGAATGTCGTCTTCACATCCATCTGCTCTAAATAGAGATCTCAAACTGCCACAATGCTCAGCACGGTCCGGATCGTGGTCAACTTAACGACAGGAGCAAAAACGTCAGAATAGTCTATCCTTGCTTTCTGTTCATAACCCTTCACTACAAGCCTCGTCTTGTAATGTCTCCGTCCATCGGCTTCATCCTTGACCCAATAAATCCACCGATTGTGAAGAGCCTTTCTCCCTCTTGGAAGCTTTACGAGCTCCCAAATCTCATTCTTCATCAAGGACTTCATTTCTTTCTCCATGGCAGACTCCCACTCGCCCCGAGCTTTGCCGGTCTGCTGTACCTCCTCATAGCTCTTTGGCTCACCACTGTCAGTCAGGAGAAGATAATTCATGGTGGAAAGGTACCTCTCTGGCACCCTGAATTTCTTGGAGCTTTGCGAATTGCGATCGGAATCTCTGTTAGATCCTGCTGCTGTGCATCCCGCATGTTCTCTTGGTCTCCGTCTTCTATGCTGATTGGTATCTTACCGCCATCCTCACTGTTAGCAATATCTAGAAAAAGAGGGGGAGATAGCTGACTCTCACTCACATCTTTGGCCTTGCACACCGCATTCTCATGGAACACGACGTCACGACTGCGCACCACCTTGCGCACATTGTGATCCCAGAAACGGTACCCATACTCATCTCCTTCATAGCCAATGAAAGAGAGCTTCTTTGACTTTGGATCAAGCTTTGAACGGTCTGCAAGATTGGTCATGATATAGGCATCACAACCAAATACTCGTAAGTGCTTTAGCTTCAGCTTCTTTCCGATCCAAGCCTCTTCAGGTATCCCATAACTGAGAGCCGCGGATGGCCCGCGGTTAATCAAGTATGCAACAGTATTGACAGCTTCAGCCCAAAAGCTTTTGGGCAATCCGGAGTGGATCCTCATACTTCTGGCACGCTCCAAGATAGTACGATTCATACGCTCCGCCACTCCGTTGTGCTGAGGTGTGCCTAGGACGGTCTTCAGTCTCCTAATCCTATGGGACAAGCAGAACTTCTCGAACTCCTGGCTGCAATACTCGCCTCCATTATCAGACTTTAGGCACTTCAGCTTATTGCCTGTTTTATTCTCTACACAGGCAAGCCACTTCTTGAAAACGATTAAAACATCTGACTTGTGCTTCAAGAAGACCACCCATAATTTTCTAGTAGCATCATCAATAAAAGTAACAAAGTAAAAAAGAATTTCCAACAGATGGAACTTACGCAGGTCCCCACACGTCGGTGTACACCAACTCTAATTTCTACAGTTTCAGAACCGGTCCAGTCTTGTTGAAACTCACATTCTTTTGTTTGCCTAGGATGCAGTCCTCACAGAAAGTTAGATCGATTTTATTCAGACCCGGAAGCCTTTCTTCTGTGGCCATTATCTTCATCCCCTTGTAGGCTGTCTAAAAATCACAACAGATAGCTGATCCCCATCAAACACCGATGACGGAAGTTACAATCTGACGATTTTTATAAGGCTACAATTTGAAGACTTTCACGTAGATCGCTGAAGGTTACAATCTGACGACCTTCACGACAACTGATGAAAGCTCC